GTCAAACAACTCACCTTCACTCAGCAGTTCTCTCTCCTCACCCGCTGTCTTTTTGTAGCCTTCACCGACTGGATTAAGGTTAAAAGAGGTTGTGGTTGTGGCAGAAGCCATCGGAATTACGGCAATGTCGAAAGTTTACCCTTCACGAAAATTCACATCTTGCGCCAAGCGTGAAAGCAAAACAGTGCTGCAAATCACAGGTGAGGTCTGGGTGTCAGTTATCTATATGCGTGCGGGATCAGCTGCTTATTCGGGAGGAGTCCCGAAATGACCCGATAGTAAAGCAGAAAGCAGAAACGACCAGGAAATCTTTTCCCTATCTGTTGAGAGTGTCAAAATGAAAGCTTTATTTTTCAATTTCATTAAAGATTAAGATTTGTTTAACAGATATTTGTCACACATCAGCGTGGAATACTCGAGTAAAGTTTAATAAATTTGTCCCGGAGTCCCGTGAGTCCCGTGAGCGGTTGCTAGGAAGATTTGTGACGTCACGAGTAAGCAAAAGGCCATACAATCCTACACTGCATCAAACAGAATTTGGAGTTTCTTCTCGTTCGTGTGTGCTCTAAAAAAGTTCAGTCACAAGCAGAGACAATGTTAGATTTCAATTTCCTTGGTAGAAGGTGGCAGGTTTATTAGTTATGTGATTGGCGACGATGAGAAGCGAAAGTTCGTGCAGTGCATTGTGTCAACATCCCGAATGTTGGAGAGCTAACTTACAAAGAGTGAAAGATGCTGTCAGGTTAAGAAACGGAATACAGAGTCATGATCATGAAACATCAGTTGAAAAGGATTTTACAACTGTGGATGATCGAAAGACTCCCGTTGAAGATGGTAAGCTAGAGACAAGGTCGTAAATTTATAATGGTGACGCATAACATAATTGGTTTAAGCAGTTTCAATTTATCGACTGGCATTAAATAATCATTTACATTTAATTACCTTTTTATTGATCATGAAATCCATTGTGTTAGTGTATTTCATTTAAGCAGTGCAGTTCAGGCACTCAACTGGGATCTTGTTAATTTGGGCACCCAGTCTAACCCCTCGGCCAAGTATTGGTTGACAATAGCGGCCAATACTCGGTCAACATCTTTGCCAACATATCGGTCGACTATTAGTCGACTTTTTGACTGATCAGCTGACATATTGGTCGACATGTAGACCGACACTTGTCCACATGTCGGTCGACATGTCTACCAGGTATCGGTTGATACTTGGTCGGTATACTGATCAACACTCAGTCAATACGGCAAGTGTCAAGTGTCAGCAGAATATTGGTGGACTGTCAGTGGCATATCGGTTGACTGTTGTATAATGTAATTTGTGTTAATCAGAAGTGAAAAGTAAGAACAGACAGCACCTCACAGAAATGTTCAACAAAGCCACACACCTAAGAAATCTGACCATGAATCAGGGCTTGTATCCTCTCAACCCCCTTGCTGGGTGTTTCTTGGTTTTGCGGAGACTATTGCTGGTTACACATAGCTATTGTCTTGTAGTGTGGGTATTCTTCAGTGCCTTTTTCAGTCTCTTTAATTACATCATTTAGTGATTACATTCATCTGCAACACCAAGAGACCCTCAGCTCTGTGTCTCCTCTATTCAATTGAGGGTGGATTTCCACTGTTGTGTAATTTTTATATGTGTATGTTGTGGTTCAAATTTATCCTTGGTTTAAATTTTACTTTCCTTTGTTTTAAACTCATTATCGTGCATTACCATACCTATAAACCAGGGGAAATGAAATTTAAACCAAGGATAAAATTGAACCACAACATGTACGCACGTAAATTTTACACACTGAAATAAAATAGAGGCAATGTATTGAAGGTGTACACTTAAAAGTTAAACCTAGCTCAACTTTGACTTTTACGCGCGGTTTTTTTATACAACACATGTAAAATTTATGTGCATACACATGTAAAAATTACACAATAGTGGCAGTCCACTTTAAGGATGCAAGTTTGAAGAAAAACAATCGAGCAGACACTTGCAATTTATTATGCTCTTGCTATAGACTGGTTAAAGCTGCCAAAGTCCCTGCCTGGACCACAGAAACAAAAAAAAAAGAACTAACATGCAGGAAATATAACTTCAGAAGAAGGGTTGACCATTAAGTATCAGTTAAGTATCGGCCAAATGTTGGTGGCCTATCAATCAATGTGTCGCCTGATTATCGGTCAAAATACCAACCAACACTAATAAATCACTGGCTGACATGTTGGTCAACATGTCTGCCGACCCTGGTTCGACTATCGGTCGTCATATTGACAACATGTCAATCAACATCAGGCTGGCTGATCTCAACCGACATATCAATGGAGATAATTTCAGCCTGCATGTCAACTGATAGTCAACAAACATGTCGCCCAAGTCTCAGGGCATATGTTGGCTTGAAATTTTGCTTTCTGCCATGTCCGAACCTTGCAAGCTAATATTTTGCATCTGGATCAGAAGGCTGCGAAGTGTACGACCTGTAAATGGCTTTTGGTAAGTTTTAGCTCTTTATAACACAACAGTGACCAGAAAACTTTTCGACTTGCCACAAAACACATTTTTCAATGGTTAATTAAAGGGTTANCTGGACCACAGAAACAAAAAAAAAAGAACTAACGTGCAGGAAATATAACTTCAGAAGAAGAGTTGACCATTAAGTATCAGTTAAGTATCGGCCAAATGTTGGTGGCCTATCAATCAATGTGTCGCCTGATTATCGGTCAAAATACCAACCAACACTAATAAATCACTGGCTGACATGTTGGTCAACATGTCTGCCGACCCTGATTCGACTATCGGTCGTCATATTGACAACATGTCAATCAACATCAGGCTGGCTGATCTCAACCGACATATCAGTGGAGATAATTTCAGCCTGCATGTCAACTGATAGTCAACAAACATGTCGCCCAAGTCTCAGGGCATATGTTGGCTTGAAATTTTGCTTTCTGCCATGCCCGAACCTTGCAAGCTAATATTTTGCATCTGGATCAGAAGGCTGCGAAGTGTACGACCTGTAAATGGCTTTTGGTAAGTTTTAGCTCTTTATAACACAACAGTGACCAGAAAACTTTTCGACTTGCCACAAAACACATTTTTCAATGGTTAATTAAAGGGTTACATCTAATTCTATTGAGCTATAGTGTGTAGTGTTTATACTTGTTGTGACAAACTGTTAACTAAATAAACTACTTTTAAATTTTAAAAAACTGTTTTAAAAAAACTTTTCTATGTAATTCAGGTTCCCTCCCTACTTTGAAAGTCATTGACGTGTTTGGGGACATACATCTCAGGTCAAGCAGTGTACCAAACAGCAGAGCATCACCACAGCCAAATAGATACCATCATAGATCAGCATCATTACCTTCATTATCACCTAATCCCTGCAGGTATGAAAAACAGACTTTACACCAATTATAGTTTTTCTAAACATAATATTATTATGGAGAGCATTGGCAATAATTTTTCCTGTAAATGTAATTTCTCCTGTCAGTGTCTTTTCACTAGCTGTTACATAAATGTGGCTTTATGCGCTAAGGTGAGGATTAGGACTTGGCAGCTTCATGATGTTCGTAATGAATGAAAGCATAAATCTCATTAATGTTCAATTCTGGACAAAACTGCAAAGGATTGTAAAATACAGTGAAACCTCTATTAAGAGGACCCCCAATTAAGCGGACACCCGCCTCTATTAAGCGGACACTAAGCCGGGTCCCGAAACGAACATCTGATATTTCCCTTTATAACGAACCCCTATTCAGCAGACACCTCTATTGAGTGGACAAGGAAACTAAAATAAGTTGTATTTGGCTAATTTCTATTGTTAAAAACCTCTATTTAGTGGACACCGGACATAATAAACAATAGTAGTATTGGATTACGTCCTTGAAATACATACTGAAGTCAGTTAATGTTTTTGCATTTACAAACAAATTAAAGTTTGTAATGAAAAGGTAATAAACTTGAACTCTCGATACCTTCTTTAACAACATGCAACTTTATCACAGTACAGAGTAACCGTTGAATGTTGATCATTAACAAACACTGCGCAATTTTTACAACCCTTATTAAGTGGACACCCTCTATTAAGCAGACACTTGGGAAGGTCCCGAAGGTGTCCACTTAATAGAGGTTTCACTGTATAGCTTTTGGAGCTAAATTACTTGGCACCATTTTAGATCATTCATAGCAGCTTGGCAGGCCTCTATCATGAGTAATGTTCTTGCTGTCCGACATACTGGTGAAAAGGTACTTACAAAAGAACACTGAAGCAGTGGATCGATCACTGCTTTGTTAAGTTTCATTGCTGTGAAGCTAGTTGAGTACACTGTTTTGCTTAACTTTCTCTCTCAGCATTTTTTAAATTCACTCCCTCTAGACAAACAAATTTTAGTTTTTTGTTCCTGTTGGAACTCCTGAACATAAACCGTAATGACTGGAAATTACAAACAGATACATCTGTATATAATTATGTAGATAAAAAATGTTTTGTTCACTTTCTCCAACAGTCAGCCACTATCCCCATCATGTACCCCAAATTTCCGCGTCCCTCGTCCATCACCTGTTTCTCCAACAGGGTTGACTGAATACCAGAAACGAATGCTATGGAAAAAGAATGTAAAACCTGCATCAGCACCATGTGATGACAATCGTCATAATCAGGGTGTCAAGAGTCATGCATCCATCGTGGGTATTCATGAGTTGTATGAAAATGACGAGTTGTCGCGGGACTGGAAGGATGTGTACATTACATCAGCATATCTTGTTTGGTGCCAAACCAACAGGGTAGGGTAGGCCATCTATTTTAAAACAAAATTAATAGATTCCACGTCGCTGTGCATATGTTCAATAATAGATCACAGATGACGTCAAAATGTGGTAAAAACATTGAAGTGCCACACGAGCCGTAGGCGAGTGTGTCACTAATGTCACACACCTTTGGCAACATGGAATCTTTTGTTTAATGCAATGACGAGAGAAGAAAAAAATGGCATACACCTACTTGCCTCACACCTCTTGACTGTTTGAGGATTTGTGCTAGTTTAGGCATTTTTTAAGAAGTCCCAAATGTTACTTCTTGTCTCTGCTTCTTCTTTTCTTACAGTTTCTGTGAAAAGTTTTTCAATGCCTTCACTTGCTCAAAGCAGAATAATCGCAAAAACATTTTGCAAACCTGTGAGTCTCTTGCAGGGGCGGATCTAGGGGGAGGGTGCAGGGGGTGTGCACCCCCCCTCCCCCCTGAGATGACCTGCGGTTTTCTAATACAACTGGTATTATGCAAAAAAAATTGTGGTTTATTGGTGTTGAAGTAGAGCAAGAGACGAGTGCACCCCCTCCTAAAAAAAATCCTGGATCCGCCCCTGTCTTGTAGCAATGATGCAGGGGTGATACTCGATGGCAACAGTTGTGAAGATTTCTTGCTGTTTAGGCATTCTCAAATTGTCAAGAACTCTTTTTGTCTCCTGTTTCTCCATTTTTTTTTGTTGTAACTAACTCCTGTTTAACTTTTTTCAAGGCTGTCACTTGCTTAATAATAATCCAAAATACAGTTTGTACTCTCACAAACATTTTCAAAACCGTGCACCTTGTTGAACAATTCAAAGAAAACAAGTGGCACATGACGTCATTCATGTATCTGTACTTTTAACAGGTCATGGGCAAAGACCAATCACAGCATGCGTAGCATTCATATCATTGTATAAAGAATTAATATTTAGTGAACTTTGGCTGTGCTTTGGGAATATTAATTGTAGGGAATTTAAAAAGCTCCCCATGAACAGTGAGTGCTATGGCCAAGCTCAACTTTTGTGAGACATAAAATATAGGTTGGTTTATTCCATGATTGGTTTGAAATACTGCTAATCAAAATGACTATCCAGCTATTACAGTCAAATTTTGAGGTACATGTGCAAACCATAAAGATACTAACTAGCAGTAGTAAAAACGGTTTGGCTGGGTCAGCACACAAACAACTGACACAAGTTAGCATTAAGAGGAAAGACGCTTTTCAGTTTGAAATTTGGTAGTGTCTAGTTTGCATTGCTCAAAAACGTCTTTGCTGAAGCTCCCTAAAATGTACCAGTCAGAACTCAAGTCAACTGCTAATACACATTAGTAAAATCCAACTACTGGTCTATTATCAATGCTGCATTCTGATTGGTTGGCCTTCAGCCTCATGGGCCATTGACATAGAGCCTATCCGGGCTCGAGGAAAAATTGTTAATTATACTTTGTGCCAAGCAAGTGGAAAACCTGATTTTCTTTGACTCCTCTGTGTGTTGTTTTTATTGAAGCTAATAGGTGTATTTTTAATTGTTATTACAGAGGAAAAGGAGAAAAGCAAAGAGCACTGGGTAAGATTTTTAAGCCACAACTTAGTTCAAGTTGTCAAGCAATAATAACGAAAATGGAACTAATTAGCCATTTCAGAGTTGCCTAGGGAACTGGGGCAAGTTTCAAATTCAAACTAATCAATAAACTGACACCACCATATAAAAGGTCATGTTGAGATTGGTTTTTTGAACAAGTTTGGTGCCCTAAGGTTGAACAGGGATCAAGTTATGACTCTTGAAAAATGGTTAAAGATCCACACAAACCTCTGTAATTTTGTGACAGCATCCCTCAAAACCATATAAACTCTTAATTTTTTTCATGATTTCTGTGATATTCCTAAAAATGGGCAAACACAGTGATTTTCAAATTAGTTCCTTCCAAGTTGTAGATGCATGACGAATTTTACAGTTTAAAAGAGAAACTGAAAATTTTTAAAGAGTTTATATGGTTTTGGGGGACGCTGTCACACAATTATAGATGTTTGTATGGAGCCATGTTTCAAGAGTCATAACTTGATTCCTGTTCAATTTAAGAACACCAAACTTGGCCAAATAACCAATCTCAACATGACCTTTTATATGGTGGTGTCAGTTTATCGATTAGTTTAAATTTGAAACTCGCCCCAGTTCCCTATGCAACTCCGAAATGGCACATTGCTAGTAACTTGCTGATATTTTGCTACCTTAAGGTTAATTATGTATGTATATTTCTTGCATTCAGGTCGATAAGGAAAGACCCTCGTAGAGTCACTTTTAAGGATGTAACAGAAGACATGATTCCTGCAGCAATGGAGAAAATGAGACCTGTAAGTCAGAGTTTTTTTACTTACAAAATGTCTAGCAAATCTTGTCTACCTCAGATAGTTTAATTTTGTTTGCCTGGTACATGATTAAGAATGCACTATGAATGTTGGATGAGAAAAGATCTTTTTTGCTAACAACAGACATTTAGCTTTACTTTTTACAAATTAATATGTCTTAATTTTAGATTTTAAATTTGAAAGTAGTTCATTAGGACTCTGCAGAAGAATAAGTCAGCTCAACAGCTCTAATCTATGAAATCGACCCTTTTGCCCATCTCAGAGTGACTGTAAGTTCATTGCGAAAACTTAAGACCTGGTTGTTTCACACCAGGCACAAGTCTTCCACTAGTGTTACAGCCCTACTAAGGGACGGACCATTGGAAAAGTTATGCGGAGGGTGTGGAATTTTTGAGGTGAATGAATTTTTTTCAAAAACGTTTCCCTTATGTGAATCTTTTTAGGCCTTTGCATGAATATTTTTAGGGTTATTTGGCATGCGTGAATTTTTTTCATTTAATTTTCCATTGCACAAATATTTTTTGACAGTTCGTCCCCCCTTCCCACACCCCCATAACTTTTCTAATGATCCGTCCCTAAGCAGGTTGTCTCAGGGGTAGCAGAAGATTTTTCCAAGTGAGGATGCTGACTAGTGAAGCTGAGAAGACTCTCTTCTTATTAAGACGGTAACTTTTTGGGAGAAGTGAGGTGGGTGCCCCTTCTCCGCCATCCCTGTCTCTGGCTCATCTACTGGATATAATTATTATTGGCAAATAATTGGTCCACACTCTCTATAACATAGCGCAAGTGCTTGCCCTGTATAAGTCTTATTGAGTCACTATGAAAAAATTAACAATTGGTTCATGCTGAGCAGGAAGTTTGGAGAGCACGAGAGAATCGTGAGACTAGAAAACTTGCAATGCCTGGAGCAATTCTTTTGCTACTCTCGTGCTCTTCAAACTTCCCGGTGCATCCATAACTCGATATTTACATGCTAAGCATGAACTAATTCTTGTTACATAAGGATGGTGAAGAAATTCATGACAGAGGTCTCTTTTGCGAGTTCATTAAATGCACAGTTATCATTACTTTTTTTGACCAGAAACGTCCAGAACCTCGCAGATCTCCGACAGTTGGACTACCTTATGGTCCTAGTAGGTCCAGTTCTCATCGACAAGTGCATGTTCAACATCTGGACCTCGGCAAATATGGGTATGTGACAAAAAATGGTTGTTAAACAGATAGACAGCAATTTTCCATTGGACGTCAAAGGACGTCTATTGTTTATTCTTTTTTGTTTTGTTTGCCATAAGTTGTACAAAGCAAAAAAATCTAATTATTTAAACTCTCATGGCGAGGAAGCCCAAGAGAAGCCACCGGGCTTATAAGGAATGGGCTCCCTCAGTTAGATAATTAGAGCAAAATATTATCGTAATTACACATGGGAAAATCAATGGCAGAGCTACAGTAAATCTTAAAATAAATATATTAGATAGTCGTACTAATCATAGTTCTAGGCTAAAAAAAGCGAAATGACAAAAAGAAAAAAAAATGAAAATAAAAGAGCAAAGGTCAAATAAAAAATAAACAAAATGTTCAAAACAAAATGTTCAAAACTTGAGGTGAAACTGGTTTCACTAAACAACAACAAAAAAAAGAGTCTCCATAAGACGAGAATTTCTTCATGGGTATGAATAATAAGTTAACTCAAATTTAACTTCCTTTAGGTTGGAAGATTTTGGTGATTTTCCTAAGTCAGTGATTGCCGGAATCCTACAGCACATCAAACCAAGGTTTGTGCCTTCGACTCTATTTCCAAGCTCATCGTAGCTGATAAGCTAGGGTCAATTCTCTACTATGACAACTCCCCACAATGGCCAATTTTTGTCCCCCTCCGAACAATCCATACATGGTACTCTCATGGGTATTTCCGAGGAAATCGAAGTCGCAGCGATCCCTACTGATGAGACGACAAGCTTACCTAATCCTAGAGATTGAAACGACGATTGCATTGCCATTCCGATCAAGGCTGACAATGTTGGTCGTGCGATGGGTGCAAAGAAATCTTCCAAAAAGTGTGCTGCACGTTATAAGCAAAAAATCTCTGAAAAATAAGCAAAATTTACTTGAACGATAAAAGAAAAAATATATATATATATATGCTGCTCTTTTTTTTTCCTCGTTTCCGTTATTGCGTTGTGGTTGGTCGTGATCGCTAGAAGCGTTTCCGCACAAAAATAAAATAAAATTCTTAGTATATGATCATTTCGTTGAAAAACTGACGACTTCATGAAAACCGCGCGAAGAAAACGACTCCTCAAGGTTCCCATAGAGAGACTCATACATTCACTCTCTCAAGGAAACATCCTCTAAGTTGCATCCCAACTGCCCAAAGACCTCCCCGTTAATGGCCATTTAATAGCGACAGCGTACGAACGATACGAGAATGATGAACACACTAATACACTCCAGTACTTTTACAGACTTTGTTCGTCAACATTAAATCCTGGAATAAATTTAGTTCTAAATTTTTTATCTCTTTTTTTTTTTTTGTTTGACTTGTTTTGGTTTTTGTTACGTCGTAATAGGTTTCAATTCTGTACTTTTTTGATTGACATGTTTTGGTTTCTTTTTTCCACCACGCAATGCTCATTTTCAGGAGTATGGCACTTGATAAAGATTTACCTTTGGGATTAGAATGTCATCCAAAGCAACAATCTAGCCCAAGAGGAGGAGAGACTGGTGCCAAGTTAGTGACAGCTGATGCACCTGAGAAGAGCCTGGAACGGACTTTACAGGATGAGAACTCACGAATGCTTCTTGATGTTGACATTAATTCTCACTTCACCCCTCCTGTGGGGGAGGAAATCACTGACGACGAGGGAGGAGACAGGACGTTAGATTCACCGAGACAAGGAACAAGGCCCGAGGCAAACATGATCAAAGCAGTTAGTGAAAAGCTAGCTGCAAGACAAGGCCGTTTATTGTTGCCTCTTCCGTCAATAGGTGTCCCAACACAGCGCAAAGCTAAGGATAAGTTACATCACTGTATGAACTCCATCCCTCACAACTTGGATTTGGGCGTGGCCATGGAGCCTGTCGATGTAGTATCTGTCACTCCGACACCCACAGGAACCCCAGCAGAGGATGTCACAGCACAGGGATCGCAACTAAATATTTTGGATCGCCGCTCCATGGATGTGACTTTAGCTGCAAGTGAGCTTGATTCACCAAATGATGATCAGTGGCCGGTCAGAACTCATATGACCTCTGCACTTAGGTATGCTGAACTATTTTGAAATTTGAACTCACAAAACAGCAATCTAAAATATCCCAGGCTGCTCAAGGGGATGGGGATGGGGGGTTGAGGATAACACACTTCATGTCAATGTAACCAGTCAATTGGCCTATTGCTTAGTTTCAAACCAAGGAGGGCCGGGTATTAGTCGGTTTATTATGGGATAAACAACACGAGACCCACATAGTCAGGAAGAGCCGAATGAGATTAGAAAAAATTTCAGGTTTGGTGTCGATCGGGCCGATATTGAACAAGATACAACTATTTAAAAACTTAAAAATTAACAAAAGATGTATGGGTAGAGCGGCTAACTCAATGTTGTGCTCAATCAGAAACTCATAAGCTATTGTGCTTTTTCGTGACAGTTCAGCGTCTTCTGATACCGGCCTAATTTGAGGTGTTTTGTTGCAGATATTCTCCAGTACCTGTGCGGGCACCAGCTCCTACCCCTATCAGCCCGGAAAGGTATGGACGCTACTCTCGGACACCAAACACAAGAGAACACAGCCACTCCATTTCTTCTCGACATATGAGGCGCTGGGAAACACTAAGCAGTGTCTATGATCAAGACGAACCTGACCTCACCCGGGAAGCCCTTGGGAGTCCCGAGGGAGAAGGAGAGGATGTCGTGCTGGAGCCTGTGTTTTTAACGGAAGATGCTATATTACGCAACCCGAAGTTGATGTCATTTTCGAACCGAAAAGACGTCGAACAATGGCCCCAAGAAAAAATGATCGTAAATATCATTGAGGGGGAAGAAATGCCGCGTTCAGTTCGCAGCCCGAGTCCTGGGAGTAAAACCTACATTCCTCAGGACATTCTGGCTGAATTCCATGGAGACCTTTATGGAAGAACAGAAATGCACATTGCTGGTCACAAAATGACCGGGAAACAAAATTTTGGCCCGGAATCCCTTATATCAACAGATGTACCAGCGTACATTGCCCCAGCCTGGCGACCACCTCGCTCAAGGACTCCAATTCAGTTCTTAGAAACACCCTCTCGGAAAGCTCCAAGGCCGCTGAGGCAGCCCCCGGCAGAAAGTGTGCCTAAGTCCTTAACTGTTCAGTCGTTGCGAGGTCGAGCCATACGAAGGCCCAAGAGTACCCCTCCTCGTATTGGTTCTCCTGGGGAGTCCTCAAAGGATTTGCCTGTACAACAAATTTTGTCTGACTCATCTCTTGTTCATTCAACACGGGAAGTCATAGACACTTATTCCATGGCCGTGCCGGCCACATCACCATCTGTGGGTGCAAATGGCTCCATTCCCCCACCACCATCTCCTGAGGCTCAGATAATAACCTCGGTAGTTCCCAGTACCCTTAAACTTGATCCTGTGAGTGAGGCTGAAGAGAAAAGTAGCATAGCTTCGGCCAGTGTGGCGGATGGAACAAGTCATGTGGAAGGATGCAACACTGTTGCTAACCTCTCGGAAGTCGAGGAAGAAAACGAAGAAGTTAAACTGAGTCGGGGAACGGAAGAAGTCCTCAATGGAAGTAGGAAGGAACAAGAAACAGCTGCTGAAACCAGTGCAGTCGCGGAAACGGGTAAAGAGAATAAAGAAGACGCTGAACCTAACAAGACACAGCTAATTGGTGAAGAGCGTCTCTCTCCCACTGACAAACTGTTTCAATCTGCAGACGCTGTTAGAAGTCAAACGCTGCCGGAAGAAAACACGACTGTCACGAAGGAAGCTGAAAGTAATACACCCCCAGAAGATCCAGTGAATCAGACAGACGATTCCGAGAGAAAACAGGAAGAAATTCTATCCGAAAATAACACGGTGACGGAAACGTCACGTAACAATGAAGAAGAAACCACAGCCCCTCCTCATCCCCCTGGATCACCAGACATAATCAACACGCCAGACTTCACTGAGGGACTGGACATGAACCTCGATTTAGAAGCCGAGTTACGCGCGGCTATGGAAGGACTTGAGGATTTAGATGACAATACGGATGGGGAGGGAGGTGAAAAGCGGGCTTCTCCTGAATTAGAGGCCTGGTAACTAAAAAGGCGATAGGTTGTCGGATAATCTGAATTTTGAATATGTTTTTGAGAGGAATTAGGTAACAAGATGTTCTTCCCCTTTTTAATTAAAGAGTATACTTTTAGGAAGTATCTGTGCAGAAAAAAAAAAAAGATTAAACTTTCCGTTTGGTGAGATTTGAATTCGTATGAAGATGACAGTGCTTTAAAACTGCATCATTAGAGATTACTGCACGTTTTTCAACCGTTTGCGTCTGCATGACGACTGAAGTTGCTTTGTTTAAGTTTAGGAAGGCCAAAGGCCGTCATCTTACTTTGTAATCCTCATTCTCTCTTGGTAAGCCTTTAGCCAATCAAAGTTTATCAAGAAAAACTGGTGGTGGCCATAATGAAAACGGAAAAGCTCTTGAAGACGAAGTGATTAGTTGTGTGAAGGGCTGTACATGCGCACTACGTTAATCCGCCCGGTAAACTCTCAATGATTGCAATCTCGTCCCCAGAGCCTGCGTTACCCTTATCCAGCGGAACGGGCAACGGACGCTCAGGAAGAATCCAACACCGGAATCACAAAATCCTGGTCCCGGTTTAATTGCGCCTGCGTGAAGTTGCTTACCCATTTAACTAAGACAAGTTCCCAAGGGAGTTTTGCTGTGCACGCACATTGTTACATAATCGTTCCGGTGCAGTTTTTCTTTACGTGACTTTTGATCGATGTATCAAGTAACTTGAAAGGGCTGTCAAGGAGACTGAAAAAGTACATATTTATTTAAAATGTCGGGATTGAGACGTTCGTTGGTCATGACGAGACACATTCTTTCGTGCACAGAATGAGCACAGCTGTATGCAAATTTGAAAGGTTCAGTAGCATGCATGTGTTAAGAAGTGGCATTGAACGACTTTCAATATAAACAAGACAGGACATTTTTGGACCAAATGTCGTTGTGGCGTGGTTTCATGAATTTATATTGAGATAAAATTTTCTTTAACGTCTTCAAGTCGTGTAAGATTGGCGTGTACACAGATGACCTGTCAAAATCAAATCAACGTGCTCACAGTTTTTTTTATGAGCAAAGTAATTTGCATGTGATGAACACGTTTTTATCTGCCAATCAGAGATATTTGTTTTTCGGATTCTTCCAGAGGTTAGTGATTTGGTGCTGAGCAAAAGGATCGCAGCCTCTGGGAACGAGATTGTAATGATTGCTCCTTCTCGTCCCTAGAGCTACTCAGTGGCTACTCAGTTTCTTTTGTAACGAAGGCTTGGAGGCCACGTAACCAAAGGAAACCACGGGCTCTGGAGACGAGAATGAAGATCGCTATGAAAGTTTTGAGAGCACTGCACGAATCGGTCCCAAATTACAAAATTAGAACCTATCAGGCCCTCGGCCCAAAAGGGACCGCAGTTCATATCAACTTCCTATCTCTCTTAATAGAGACACTTCACAGACTTGTTCCTTCCGAACCGCTTACGTGAACGTAAAGAAAACAAAACTCATAAAATAGGCCCTTTGCAGCTAGCCATTCACGTGGTACAAAACCGCCACGCTGGAGAGCAAAAGTCGCACTGGGACAAGACAAACAAAAGACATGCATAATGTGAAATAGTAATTTTCTTTGTTTGTCTTGTCCCAGTGCGACTTTTGCTCTCCAGCACGGCGGGTTTTGTACCACGTGAATGGTTAGCTGCAAAGGGCCTATCTCAACTTCTTAAACACCTCCTAACACTGCCTGTTCAGATGTTTGATTTGACGGGATTATTTTCCCCCTGTTGGTAGCTTTAGAGCAAATTATTCAAAAATAGACTACGAGAGGTCGTTCTCTTCTCCTCAGATGTGTGGGTAGGTTCGATTACCAGGCGTCGTGCGGAATAATGAGCCCGCCATCAATTTCCCCCACCCCTACCCCCGAAAGAGCGGAGGGATCAAAGACCAGACACAGGAGACGGCAGAAATCTGTTGAATCCAGTAGTGAACCTAGGGTAGGACTCCGCCCCTTCTTCTTGTTTCCGACCGAAACCGAAGCCCGTGGAAACGAAGCGCCGACGATGCCCGGGATACTTCGTTTCGCTTAAAGATAACCCCTTCTCAACCAATGTGATCATTTCTGGCTACTCCGTTATGCTTTTAGGCTGTGTCCATCATTCTCTGTCATCCCAACAACAGGCATATTTTTAAAACAAAAGTGTAGACACATTTTAATTTGCTTTAATTTGACACAGTGTTTCACGCATACAGCTAAATAGGAATCCGGAACTGTGCCTGGATTATTCAGGACTGTCTTGCCTTCTATCAAGCTACTTGGCGTCTTGCCCGGTTAGTTAACAAATTTGGTGTAAAAAGTATCTAGTCTTTTTCCAGCCTTGTTCGCGGCCTCCAAGCGGGAATCAAAATGCCTCATCTTACGCTTAATATAAGGATAGTGGGGGCCGGAGTCAAAATCCTTCAGCTTACGCTTAACATAAGGATAGCGGGGACCGGAGTCAAAATCCGTCAGCTTACGCTTAACATAAGGATAGCGCGGGCCGGAGTCAAAATCCGTCAGCTTACGCTTAACATAAGGATAGCGGGGACCGGAGTCAAAATCCGTCAGCTTACGCTTAACATAAGGATAGCGAGAATCACTCTTCTTCATCTCTGCATGCCCGGAATCACTGAAACAAACGAAATTATTAAAATCATTTTTAAAAAAGCTTCTATGCTGTTTTGCAATGCAAAAATAATCATTTCCGTCTTTAATTTGATGAGACCGAGTGTTTCAGTACACTCGCACTAAATCAGCGGCTTTCCGGCACAAATCCGTGAAGAAACTGGTGCGGTTTATATTACAGGTAGCCCAAGCTCGAAATGTGAGCATTCGGCGAACATCGGAATTGTTGCGTAACATTCGAAATATAAGGATTTGTATGGGGAAAAAACTATCGTTTCTGTAACCTACGGAAATGAAAGGATTTCAATGAAAAAAAAACAGGTTACCTAACATAAAATGTGTGTTACATCTCTCCTGTGTTTTCCATGGGCCGATTTACGGCCATTTTATGGGTTTTTATGTAAACGGTTTTCTCTCTCTATAAACCGTTTACAGTAATTACCACATGGGCCACACAGGAGAGAAGTAACACACATTTTATGTAAGGTAAACTGTTTTTTTTATTGAAATCCTTTCATTTTCATAGGTTACAGAAACGATAGGTTTTTTCCCCATACAAATCCTTATATTTCGAATGTTACGCAACAATGCCGATGCTAATATTCCCTTCAAAAGACTCATTCTCCCTTAAGAAAAACTGCATGAAAAAGGCAATTTTTCACCAAAAGCACCTGTCAATCAACAAAGTAGAATTCAATTGTATGATACCCGAACTCAGTTTTCATGGACGGGCTTAGAGGGGGGACGAAGGGGCCACGCTCCACCCTTTTTCTCTCAAATGATAACAAAATCTATTTTCTAGAGCCTCAATTTCTGGACACAGATACCCTCAAAGAACTTAAATCAATGAATAAGTAGTATACAAATAGCCGGCAAGTGTTCCGGTCTTCTCTTTCGAAATTTTCTGGATGCGCCCCTGGTTTTGGCCTAAAGAGCGAGCGACTGGTTACAAAACCAGCAGCTTTGACTGCAGAGACTGCAAAGTTTACTAATTGTTTTGTTATGATATGTGCCGTTCTCGCTTTTCTTGCTCGACTGGACTCTATTTCATTTAACAAACAAGAGAAATTCGGCCAGGGACAGCCGATCATTTGACAACCTCCCAGTTACACAGGCTCAGTGTCCGTTTTGAAAACTAAGTTCGACGTAAGGTTCATCGAGAATGCATAGTACATAATCCCACGAGTATTAATTAAAACAAAGTGAACTATCGCCGTAGTGTAAATTCAGTTATAAGTTACAAACCTTTCGGCGTGCACGAAGGAGACGATCGGAATCATCACAAGAAAAACAAGAAGAAGACTTGACATGATTAAATCGTTCTGAAAAACACAAAACACGTACACATTAATGTTAGTGAAGAGGAACCGTACCGGCTCTAAGAAGCTAGCCTACCCTGAAATAAAAAAAAATTCGATCATTTCGCTATTTCCACCCATTTACTAGCTTATCCAGTCTGAACAATTTCGCAAAAAAACAAAAACAAAAACAAAACTGAAGGTAGGGTGATATTGTATTTCACTCAGTTCAAGTGTGGGAAAAACTCACTGCTGCTTCACTGTTTGCATAAACATTTTTTTGATCCTTCTCCAAATTAAAAAGAAAAAATGAACAGTCTAGCTTCTAAATTGGCTTTTTTGAGTTACTGCACTTTCGCGTTGTCAACTTTAACGAGGAAGATACAGTTTTGGGAAAACAAGGCAAAATAAATCACTGTATACTCCTTTAAAATCATTTACTGTACCCACCTGCCTTTCTCAAAGTACAGGGTTCTGTCAATCTTCCCAGACCGTCAAAATGCAGCACGTTTCTGCAAGTAAAATTAAACCTATGGTTCAACACGGACAGCCTGTCGCTCATACAGTACATTTACAGTCAATTATTAGACCCTTATAAGGCCTCGTGGTTATTTGAATGTCGTAGAAGGTTATTTTTGAGTGGGGAAGGCTTATATCCGGGGGGACTTACTGGCGGAATGAGAACAGAACGTTTGGAAGGAAGCTCATAGCAAACACCACTGCCTGTCCTGTCTACCTGAAAGATTTAAAATTTGCTAGGAAATGGGCAACGGAGATGTCTGTTATGGTTGATTGATTTGAATGGTATTCAAGTGGAAGAAACAGGTTACGCCCGACATGTAATGGCGAACAGTTTATAGTCGTTTTCTTAAACGGATGTAGTAGTCTTTTCAGCCACTTGTTAGCATACAAACTTCAACAATTAGGCAAATATTTCTTTCGCATACTGTCAGTAGAGTGCACGGGGAAATTTTTCGGTTTTTCCCCTCGTTTTGCCCGCGTATGATTTAACTCGCTCCCCACCATCTGAACGCCTGTAACAGGCTATGAGGGCGTGATTTCTGTGTGACTATCGAAGTAAACAGTTTGTTTTTTTTCCCTCGGAGTTTCAAGTCCCATCCGATTAGCGTATACACAATTGACCTGTCAAAATCAATTCAAAGGGTTCACGGTGTTCTGGACTTGCACAGTTCGCTGGTCATTTCTTTTTAAGGATTTTAATATTCACTTTGTCTCATGAGAACCTTATAATTGCGCTGTTGATATTGCTACCGCAAAAGCTCTGATCACGTACACGTAGCGCCTCTCTCAAAGTCTATGATTAACATTACTGAAAAACAACAGAGAAAACAGCCGGACGCGGACTTTTATGTCACGGGTGTCGTGAACCCGGGGAGGCACTGCTCTGAGGTTGCAACCCCATCTTTTACAAAAAAAGGCACCCCTGGATGAGGCACCCTTTCGAGGCGGAGCCTTTCCGGATAGTTCATTATAGGGAGTGTCCCTCACCCGGAGTTGTGAATGTTAACAGTTGTTTCAGAACGTGAGTTAACTGAAAACCGTACATTAAACGTCTTTGCTTAGCTTAGCGGGAGCCTCGGAAGACCCCATATACTGACAGAAAGTAGCAGCTTGCCAACAAATATAATGATTAACAGCAAAGTGGAAACAAGGCCTGAAACGAAGTGACCACACTCTAAACGCAAGAAAATGCTTAAGGCGATCTTACTGGAGAAATGTATTCCACATTTTCCTCATTTATATGGCGCAAAGAATATATCTCATATAACGTTAACGTATATAAATAACTGATTAGCTAAGAAACGTACTGCGGCTAACGGGGAACAGCGCGGTATTATTGGCTGCTGTAGCGAGGTGGCCGATATGAGAATCCGGGTCTTCGTTTCTATGCCTTGAATTCTGCGAAAGGGCTGCTTGTATCAATAAAATCACTCTTACCTTAATTTGTGTAAATGCCTGGAGTTACGAAGGAGACCTCCTTTCTCGCTGACACAAGTTGCAAATGTTCTATCTTTAACATTCGCTGCTGTTCGCTCAAGCATGCAAACATAAATTATTTTCCTCTTAAATGTGATACATACAAAACAAACTGAACAACGCTATTTGATGGTTGGATGCTCAGGTATTCCATACCGACGTGGTTTTATTACAGACTAACAAAACAGTACAATTTGAACGATTAAGTAGTTCAAGGAAATAACAATCTTATCAAATGCCTAAATGACCAGTAACCTCTAATCTTCTGTAAATATCTTCATGGGTATACATGTCCTTGGCGGTATGTGTTTTCCACCGGCGGGGACAGAAAAAGGACGTTTGACGCTAATATTGCGAGCCCTGCGCCAAGTAATGAACTTCTGATTCTCTTTTAGGTACCTCTTGACAGTCGAATCGGCTCTGGATCTCAAGAGGTAATGGACAATTCCAGCGGCGTCAAATGGGTAGCCTGTCCTGGGCGTTCAGATAGTAGAGCGCGGCGGTAAGTGGGAAGCGAGTTTTAAAGTTGTACACCGGCAAAACGTGGAGGGGGGGGGGGGGGGGGGGGGGGGAGAAAAAATTTTTTCCCCCTTCCCCCCCGTTGTCCCCCTTTGTTTTTTTTTTTTTTGGATTTTTTTCCCCCCCCCTTTCCTCTCTGAACCTTTGGAGAGCGCTAACAAATGAGCCACCCCAAAAAAAAAAAAACCTGCTCACCCCCTTTTATTTTCTTTTTTGTTTTTTTTTTTCTTT